TGACTAATGAACAGAGAAAATGTTATTTTAGTGCTAGGAATGCTTGCGTTGTTAATTCTGGACCCTATTTTGAAATTGGCCTTCTTTGAATTTTGTATGAAATTAGCCAAATTATCAACTTCTGATCACTTTATTGGATAATTGAAATAGGTAAATGGCTAGTTTCTTGTACTCACTTGATAGAACAAAAGGAGTTCTAGTAAAATAGCTATGAGTTTGGTTGACTGGAACAATGGAATTGGCCAAAAAGAGGGCTCAAAGTGAGCAAAATTGTGGATGCATAAATATAGCCGAGACCTCTAACTCCGCGAGAGCGCAATTCTGTAAGTTTTTTCATCAAATTTCGTACTTTTGGTTTCATTACCATTGGGAAAAGATTCTCTATCATTTCATAAGTTTTTGTTTGTTTTGAAAATTCTTCGACACTGAAAGCAAGTTTGTGAGCAGGGGTCGTGACAGTGAAAGGGTTAAGCGACTGTGGAATGACCCGTTTCTATGCTCCCTCTCCATAGAGTATTTAAGACAAGTGAAAGGGGTTTCTTGCAGTTCTTGATGAACATGGAGCTCCACAAGTTTGGGCCTGGATCAGAGTGCATGGGCATGTCATTTACTGCTTTTTCAAAGCGCTGTGGTGTTAGGATTCTATCAGTAATTCTTGAGTTAACCAAATTTTGAGACTCGGTCATAAAAAATTAATTTAGATTGTCAACCCTTAGTCTGATTAATGGCTTATTAAATGCTGAGCGGTCTTGGGGCTTCAGTATCTCGCTCATTTCTTTGTTGTCATCTGTTTAAGTCCCATCTTGTTTAAGCAGGAGTCCAATACCGGATGTGGTTTTTGTCCTAGATCTGGCATAACTATTTTTTTTTTTTAAGTTTCACTTATGGCTTTAAGTTCTTCCTGTGTTTCTGGGCTCCTGTATGATTCCTTAAGCTGAAGTTCGATATTTTCTATTTCTCTGGCCAGTGCCTCCTTCCATATTTCAGACAGACTGGCCCCTTTGAGCAGCTCTAATTCTTTGCCTCAACTGTTGAGGGAGTCTCTCTCTCTTTCTAGTTTATATCTTCTCTTCTTTTTGAGCATGCCTAAAGTGCTGCAGAGTTAATTCTTTCTAGCCGAAGATTTTTATCTGTGTTATTTAGGATATCTTCCCAGCTGTTTCATTTTAGACATGGTTAATTTGATTCCACTGCATGTTTCTATTACTGAAGTTGAATTTGGTGAAGGCACCCTCATAAATGATCTCATTTTGCTGATCAGGAGCCCTGCACGTATGTGTCTGTACTTCGATTATGTTGTGATCCGAGTGTATTGTCTCCGATACTTTTATATTTTGTGCCAGAACATGATGATGATGGGTAACCGAATAGAAAGAAATGCTCTCTGAAACATACAGTAGATATGAAAATGAAATGATGGTATAGTACAGGAATAAAAAATGATACAGAAGTATAGAAGGAGAATCTGAGAAGTTTGTGTTGTCAGGGTACCTTTGAAGAGTTTCGAGAGTTTATCTACTCTGTTAGAATAAGTTGAATACAAAAGTCTGTAACTCACAAGATTAATGAGTACTAAAACAGCATGATCATGCTGAGTGAAAAACAATGCGTAGTGAAATCAAGTACAGGAGGGCCCCACTTATACGGCAGGTTAGGTTCCAGGCTACCGCCGTAAAGCGGAAATCGCCGTAAAGTGGAACACCCTTTTTTTCCACTTATAAATGCATACAAACACTAGATAACAAGTTTACACTAACATATATTAAGTTAGCAATAGAACCAGGCATCAAAAAACAATAAAAAGGTACAATACACACATAGTGCACTCATTACTTACCTTAAAATATTTATAGTCTTAATCTAGGGTGAGACAAGTAGTATTTATTGTAAGAAATCAAGTGTGGTATGTATTGTAATAGCCAGGCTACCTCGCCAGGCCACCCCACCCACACATACTATTCTATGATATTTAAGCATCCCAGAGCGATAAAATGTATATACAGTTCACTCATTACTTACCTTAAAATATTTGTAGTCTTAATGTAGGGTCAGGAGTAAGTAAATGAGATAAAACGAATAAATGAGAGAGAGAAAGAATGAGTACATGAGAGGTAACAGGCGCAGAGTTATGTAAACAAACCAGGCTCCCACATCTTATATTTATGTTTATTTATTCTATTGTGGGGTGTATTTATCATCTTTTTATGTTATGTATCATGTTTATTATATAATTTTGAAAAAAAATATCATGGCTGGATTAATGAAAATGTGTATATTACCGCAATATACGACATTTAATGAGACTCGGTGAGTATTGTTATTATCACCACTTGTGCAAGTCGTCTGCTACCACATCTCACATTTATGTTTATTTATTCTACTGTGGGGTGTATTTATCTTATTTATATGTTATGCATCGTGTTTATTATATAATTTTGAAAAAAATATCATGGATGGATTAATGAAAATGTGTATATTACCGTAATATACGACATTTAATGAGACTCGGCGAGTATTGTTATTATCACCACTTGTGCAAGTCGTCTGCTCACATCTCACATTTGTTTATTTATTCTACTGTGGGGTGTATTTATCTTATTTATATGTTATGCATCGTGTTTATTATATAATTTTGAAAAAAATATCATGGATGGATTAATGAAAATGTGTATATTACCGTAATATACGACATTTAATGAGACTCGGTGAGTATTGTTATTATGGCGTCACTTGTGGAAGTCGTCTGCTCACATCTCACATTCATGTTTATTTATTCTACTGTGGGGTGTATTTATCTTATTTATATGTTATGCATCGTGTTTATTATATAATTTTGAAAAAAATATCATGGATGGATTAATGAAAATGTGTATATTACCGTAATATACGACATTTAATGAGACTCGGTGAGTATTGTTATTATGGCATCACTTGTGGAAGTCGTCTGCTCACATCTCACATTTATGTTTATTTATTCTACTGTGGGGTGTATTTATCTTATTTATATGTTATGCATCGTGTTTATTATATAATTTTGAAAAAAATATCATGGATGGATTAATGAAAATGTGTATATTAACGTAATATACGACATTTAAATGACTCGATGTATGTAAGTTTATTTAGGTACAGGTATACATAAGTATAATTATCAGAGTATATATAAAATATGAAATAACTTTTAAAAACATTTGAAATTTTGGAGTTTCCAGACAAAATGGAGAGACTTAGTGCTTACTGAGCTCATGGAGAATGTAAACAAACAGGGTGGGGCACGGTGACCGTATTAGAAAGTCAGGTGGGGGGAGCCGTATAGTGAGTTTTGGTCATAATTTGAAATGTCCGTATTAGCGGAACGCCGTAAAGTGAAACGCCGTAAAGCGGGGCCTTCCTGTACTGTATATTCAAATGAATATACAGTACTCAAATGAATATACAGTTGGGATGACATTCATATACAGTGGTCCCTCGTTTTTCGTAGTTCTCAGGAATCATAGATTTCGGAAATCATAGGGATATTTTCGTATAAACATGGGCTTGCTAATCATAGGTTGACTCGCGAATAGTAGTTCGTCCGGGACGCGTACACACGGTGTGAGCCGGGGTGGCCTCCCTACCCAGCCAGTCTGGCATTGTTTACCAGTGAGTGAAGGTCCCCTCACATGCTCCTACAAAATATTTCATAATATTCTACTCATTTTAGTGCTTGCAAGTACTAAATAAGCTACCATGGCTCCAAAGAAAGCTCCTAGTGGCCAGATTGTGTCAACAAGAGGGATTTTGAAGGGTTTGGGACTGACCCTGATGAGCCTATGTCTGTTGTTAAATCAATTGTGGCACTGGGGAGTTCCATGGGGTTGGATGTAAGTTTGGAGGATGTGGAAGAGTTGGTGGAAGACCACAACGAAGAGCTCACCACTGAGGAGCTGCAAGAGCTTCAGCAGGAACAGAAACAGATTGCAGCTCAGAATCTTGCTGCAGAGGAGGAGGAAGAGAGATGGAAGAAGGTGCCTTCTTCAGAAATTAAAGAGATTTTTGCTATGTGGGGTAAGATGGAAAGCTTCATGGAGAAACATCACCCTGACAAGGTTGTTGCAAGCCATGTTGGCAACATGTACAGTGACAAAGTCTTGGTCCATTTTAGGGAAGTGTTAAAGAGATGCCAGAAACAGAGCTCTCGCCACAGTTATTTTGCTAGACAGGACTCGGACTCTCAAGGTGGTCCTAGTGGCATTAAGAAACAGAGAAGAGAAGCAACCCCAGAAGAGCAATTGGTACCTGAGGTGTTGCTGGAAGGGGATTCCCCTTCCAAACTGTAAACAATCCAATCTCTCTCCTCCTCCAGTCTCCCATACACTAAGAAGAATCTCCAATAAAGGTAAGTGTTATGCTGTTAATGTTTCATTCATCATTTCCCATTGTATTGTTTATGTACTACATCTATATTTCATGTAAAAAAATTTTTTTGTTTTAATACTTTGGGTGTCAGGAACGGATTAATTGTGTTTACATTATTTATGGGGAAAATTGATTCGCAAATCGTAGATTTCGATAATAGTAGCAACTCCAGGAACGGATTAACTACGAAAAACGAGGGACCACTGTATCTCAATCAAATGGATTAAATCCAAATACAATATGAAAATTATAATATAATCACTTGAACAATTCAAAAATAACTCACATCTAAGAGAGGAAACTAGGTAACATTTCAGTCCATACTCAATCATTATACTTTACATAGTACAAAATAAGCATTGTGAATTAGTAGAAGTGGTGGAGTGAGAGAAATCTGTTGTTTCCAAAAGGGTTTACAGCTCCAGTCACTATAAAGCTCAATTTTGATTGTAAAAAAAAATTAGAAGGAAGTGACAGGCAACAGGTGCTCAGGAATTTAGACAGTGCACTTGCAAATGAGAAAAAAAAGAGACTGAGGGGAATAAATATGAGTAATTTAATTAACTGGCTACTTGAGGTAACAAAAACAAAAAAATACTCACGCTGCAAACAAGAAAATGTTATCAGCTTTTTCTCTCCACTGCATCAAAATTGAGAAGACTGAGTTGACCACATCCTTTGTGAAAGTTGAGGGTACATAACTCAGGGCTGTTGTGATGACAGATACACTTGGAGTGGCAGAAAATGGGTCATCAGAGTAGCTGGATAATTTTCCCATCTCTTCAGCCAAGAGGTCATTAATAGTTTCTTGAGGCAGCAAGGGAAGAAGAGACTGTGGATATGAAAAGAATGTATATATTATGAATACATCTACCATCCGACTTATGACCTGCTCGACATATGTCCACTCGACTTACGACTGTGTGTCTGGCAGCTGGGCTGCCAGACACACGGTCAGACTCAGCATTATACAGTGGACCCTCGATAATCCTAAGGCTCGAAAGTCATAATTTTTGAAAATTTTAACGTTATTTTCATCAAAACATTGACTTGCGAATCGTCGTTTGATTAGCAAATACATGTACTGTAGTTGTTTGTCTGGGATACATACACAGCCCCGAGCCGCCTCACACTCCATTCCCAGCCAGTGTGCCACTGTTTATCAGTGAGTGAGGATGATCCCAGGAGTTCATATGATACATTTCATAATATTCCATTCGTTTTAGTGCTTACAACTGCTACATAAGTCACCATGGCTCTAAAGAAAGCTTCTAGTGCCTGCCCTTTGGTAAAGAATGTGAGAAACATATAATTTATGGAAAAGTTTGTAGAAAAATATGAAGGTGGTGGTGGTAGAGTGGTAGCAGTTGTGATAGTGGTAGAGGGTGGTAGTAGAGGGTGCTAGCAGTTATGATAGTGGTAGAGGGTAATAGTGATGGTAGTAGAGGGTGGTAGTGATGGTGGTAGCAGTTGTGATAGTGGTAGAAGGTGGTAGTGGTTGTGATGGTGGTAGAGGGTGCCTTCTTCAGTGATTCAGCAATTCTACCAACTCCTCCAATGTTGTTGGAGTTATATAAGGCTACAGAAAAAACCACTGCCTCAGCTGCTGCCTCACCACCATTATGGATGGCTTATGCTCTCAGTGGCCCTTATACACCCAACAACAACACCACAACACCTCTTGTGACATTCATAATGACTTATTTCATTCATTCTGAGTATATTCCATGTTTCTATGTTATTAATATTGTTTATGTCATATTAGTTGAAATGTGATAGATAAATAAGCCGTAGAGTTGATATTAGTGTCATATTCTCCAACAATAAACTCGCCTCCCCTCCCTCTGCCCCGTCTGCTATACCCCAACAAGAGACTTCAGTAAAGGCAAGTGTGATGTTAAATGTTAATTTATACATTTTATTAGTGCTTTACATTTATTTGGTATTCTTTTCTGCATGTAAATCTATATTTAACCCCTAAATGGTCCAAACGTATATATACGTTCACTCGCGGAGCGCCCCAAATTTTTTGAGGGGAAAAAAAAAAAAACACGTTTTTTTTAATAGGAAAAAAAGAGCATATGACCCACGCATCCCAATTAATTATATGGGCAGTGAGTGCACACAAGGACTCATTCTCTCAGTGGACCAGGCTAATTATGGCAATGTTGAATTTTGAATGTAAAAAATGTATAAATACGTTTGGGGCACTTGCGGAGAACTTTATATAAACTTTGGTCCGTTTAGGGGTTTATTTATTTATTAATTTATTAAAAACTTTGAGCACACATACAGGTACAACAAATACAGGTAAGAGCAGTATGCCAAAGCACTTATACTATGCAATAGCATTACGGGCTGGCTTAAATTAACTTAAGATAACTAAGGCAATGAAAATCAGTGATCAAACATTTAATGTAAACAGGTTACTATAAAGCACAATGTAGATATACAAAGAAGGGTCATATGGTTGTATGCATGTTGTACATTCAGTAGAATGGATATTCGGGTTAGGTAGTGTATTTAAAAAATAATAAAAGTTAGATTGGGTTTTAGGTTTAAACATTTATGTGTATAATTGTGAGAAACATTTAAGATATACAATTTATAGGGTTTCAGTTATTCAGTATTTATTTGGTTTTGGGTGAGTAAGTGATCTTTCGAAGAGACTTTGAATTTAAGACAGGTAGTGTTTCTTAATTTACAGGTATGAATTCCAATTTTAGGGCCTTTTATGTGCATTGAGTTTTTACATAGTGAGAATGGACCCGGAACATCAAAGAGTGATCTGTGCTTGTGTTATGGTCATGTTTCTTGTTGAGGTTGCAAGAGATGTTTATGAGGGTAGGTTAATTCATAGTTAAGTGTTCATGTATGTATAGGTGCAGTAGTATCAAATGGATGTTTTGTATGGTGAGGAGGTTAGTGTATTGAATATTGTGGAGTGTGCTGCCTATAGTGAAAATTTGTTTCATTCTAACTGCAGCCTTTATGTTGGGTAATTAGTGGTCTGAGCATGTTTACTGTTGTATTGAGCCCCATTGCACAAATTCCAAGGTGAGATAGGGGTAAATAACGAGAGTGATATTGGCAGGGGAATAGAGACATAGTATCCGTATCTTCGAATAGTATGGTACAGCTTGGAAATTTTTTGAAATTTGTTGTGTGATGTGTAAACTTTGGTCTATTATCAAGGTGGATTCCTAAGAATTTTCCCTCTGTTAGCTTTGTGATAGGTGATCCGTTTATCATTATGTTAAGAGGGACATCTGTAGCTCTGTTACCAAACTGAATGAAGTAGGTTAAGCTAGGGAAGTGACCCCTGAAGTGACCTAATCCTTATGGAGGGGTATTCCCCTTCCAAACAATAACCTCTCTCCGCCTCCCTGTTTTCCATTCATCAACAACAGCCTTCAATAAAGGTAACTGTCATGTTGAATGTTCATTCTTTTGTGCATGTAGATCTATCTTTAAGGAAAAAAAAAAAATTGTTGTTGATACTTCTGGGTGTCTGGAATGAATTAATTGGAATTACATTATTTATGGGGAAAATGGATTTGCAAATCGTCAATTTTGATAATAGTCACGATCTCTGGAATGGATTAATTATGAAAAACGAGGGTCCACTGTATTGTGATCCTTTACTGACACTGTTTCGCCCACACAAGTACAGGAAGTATTTATACATGTGGTGGAAATGTCAGCTGCTACATGAGAAAGAAAGGTTACAAAATCTATGGCTTGGATAGCATAAAAAATAGGTTGGGCAAATGTATATGGATGGATGGATTTGAGAAGGCATGCCCAGTTTGTGCCAACAGGCCTGCTGCAGTGTTCTTCCTTTTTTATGTTCTTATATAATAGAAAAGGGACACTGAAACATGCCATCTCAAATCTATCCATATACATTTGCCCAACCTATTTTTATGCTACCCAAGCCATAGCTTTTAAGAACATAAGAATGGAGGAACACTGCAGAAGGCCTACTGGCCCATGCAAGGCAGGTCCTTATCAAAATGACCTCTACCCAAAGCTGCCCAAGAATTTACTCCCAGACCCAATGACACCAATCAAACCCAGCCCCTCCCACTCATATATTTGTCCAATCTCTTCTTAAAGTTACCCAAGGTCCTAGCCTCTATCATCCTACTGGGAAGATTGTTCCATGCATCCACAACTCTGTTACAGAACCAGTACTTACCTAAGTCCTTTCTAAATCTAAATTTATCCAACTTAAATGCATTATTTCTGGTTCTTACCTGGTTCGACACCCTCAGTACTTTATTAATACAGTGGACCCTCGCCTAACGCTATTAATCTGTTCCTGAGAGCTCAACGTTAGGCGAAATTATCGTTAGCCGAATTAAATTTCCCCATAAGAAATAATGGAAATCATATTACAGTGGGCCCCCGGTTTACGATATTATTTCATTCCAGAAGTATGTTCAGGTGCCAGTACTGACCGAATTTGTTCCCATAAGGAATATTGTGAATTAGATTAGTCCATTTCAGACCCCAAACATACACATACAAACGCACTTACATAAATACACTTATATAATTGGTCGCATTGGGAGCTGATCATAAACCGGGGGGTCCACTGTAATCTGTTCCTGACACCCCAAAGTATGAGCAAAAAAAAAAAATTTTTTACCACATGAAATATTAATTTTAATACACACAAACTGAAGAAGACATGCACAGTTACATGACACTTACCTTTATTGAAGATCTGGTGATGATTGACGGGATGGGAGGAGAGGAGACTGTGGATGGTGTTAATGTTTAGAAGGGGAATCCCCTTACATTAGAACTTGTGGCGGCAAGTCCTCTTCCGGGGTTACTTCCCTTCTTCTTTTAATGCCACTAGGACCAGCTTGAGAGTCACTGGACCTCTGTCGCACAACATATCTGTCCATAGAGGCCTGTACCTCCCGTTCCTTTATGACATTCCTAAAGCGTTTCACAACATTGTCAGTGTAATAGTCACCAGCACGGCTTGCAATAGCTGTGCGAGGGTGACTTTCATCAAAAAAGGTTTGCACTTTAAGCCACACTGCACACATTTCCTTAATCTTTGAAGCAGACAACTTCTTCAATTTCTCTATTCCCTCCTCCGGAGCAGTTTCCTCAGGTCTGGCCTCTTGCTGTTGAAGATGATCTAGCAGCTCATCAGTGGTTAGTTCGTCATTGTCCCCCTTCATCAACTCTTCCACATCCTCCCCACTAACCTCCAACCCCAAGGACTTCCCCAATGCCACAATGGATTCCTCAACTGACATAGGCTTCTCAGGGATAGCCTCAAACCCTTCGAAATCCCTTTTGTCTACACATTCTGGCCACAGTTTTTTCCATGCAGAGTTCAAGGTCCTCTTAGTCACTCCCTCCCAAGCCTTACCTATAAGGTTTACACAATTGAGTTTATTAAAGTGATCCTTCCAAAACTCCTTTAGAGTCAATAGAGTATATGTGGTCACTTCAAAGCACCTTTCAAACATAGCTTTTGTGTAGTTTCTTAAGTTGGAAATGACCTGCTGGTCCATGGGCTGCAGGAGAGGAGTGGTATTAGGAGGCAAAAGCCTGACCTTAATGAAGCTCATGTCCCCAGAAAGTCGATCTGCCAAGTCTGAAGGACGACCAGGGGCATTGTCTAATACCAGGAGGCACTTAAGGTCTAATTTCTTTTCAATTAGGTAATTTTTCACATTGGGGGCAAATGCATGGTGTAACCAGTCATAGAAAAAGTCCCTAGTGACCCATGCCTTACTGTTTGCCATCCACAGCACACACAAATTAGCCTTGAGGATATTCTTTTGCCTGAATGCTCTGGGA